TTATATTTAAATATTTTTTAATAAAACATTTGCAATCGATAAAATAGGTTCATAAAATATATTAATATATCGAAAATTAATGTAAAAATATATACCGAAAATTATCTTTTTGTTATGGAGGTAGAAATTAAAAAATGTATAGAGATAAATTATATTTATTTCTATATATTATTAATTTAATTTCTATATATTATTAGTTAATTGTCAGCTGTGAACATAACTTATTTTGTTTTTGGTTATGCATAATTATTTTTAGATATATTAATTATTTATTAATAAACAGGTTATTTAATAATTAATAAAAAAAGGAATATTTTTGTTATATTTTTACTTTATCGATTGTAAGTTTTGTTTTTATTAAAACATATTTCCATATTAATATATTTTTCAAGAATTTTTATTTTTTTGTCGCAATCTGAAGTAGTATAGTGATGAATAGACAGGATTGCATCAACACCTTTCATGAATTATAGGGTGCTTTTCATTTAATAGCATTAAATTGACATAAATGTATTTCTGTCTTTGTTACTCATTGAATATTATATCAAGAAAGATAGAATTATGTTTGTATTGACTTGTGTCACTAAATAGAAAGCACCCAATATTGTCAAACACTCACTTCTGGTCTTTCTCGCTGTCGTAGAAATACTTCGATATACTTGGAGATTCTGATAAGAATTTCTCAACTGTGTGTGTAGTCGCAGTAATCGAGGATGTCGAGGTGCCAATTATCGCTTCTGCTCAAATACCGGTATCCGATGATACCGATGTGCTTCTATCTTATCTTGCTGCGCGTCTGTGCTTTGTATCTGCGATCTACACGTCCCACGAATTAACGCTTATCGTAATCAGAAATTCTGACGATGCAATTTTATGAAATAAATGATGCCACGTTTGGTCCTTTTCGTTTCTTTTTCGCTCACCAGGACGAACAACCCTTCATTAGTTCGACGATCAACGAGACGATTATTATGATTATTATGATTATTACGATAAGACGATAGTTTTGAGCGATTGTGTCAAGATTAATTACGCGACAATTACTTCAAATGATTTATACGTTTTGTAATTAACGCTTGTAATAATATATGTAATTGGAATTGTATAATTCCATTGCTGCTTGAGATATAACAGATCTTTATCAAATAAAATGTACCGATAAATGACTAATAATAGTGATTAATAATATATTGATATAATAACTGTATTCTGTGAACTTTGTATACATGTTTATTACATTGTATAATATATTAATGAATGTCTATAATTTATGGTTAAAACATTTGCAAATTGATCTGTATATTTATTTCAAAGCAATAGATACGAAATTTATAAGTTGGATTTTAAGTGCTTAAATAATTTTATGTGAATTTATATACTAATGTAGTCTTTTAAATTGCGCGAATTAATTTTTCGGTCTTGAAATGTAACTCCATTAAACTACAATAGTAATATCACAAATTAAATTGCTTAACAATTTATTATTTCCTTTCTTGTTATGTGTTCACATGTACAGTCCTAGAAATTCTTTGTATATAAAAGTTATTTTTTCTAAATCTTATATAAATTGTTTTAATAAATGGAAATATATAAACAATTAATTTAATCATGCACAGGCAAAAAACAAAAGTAAATTATTTACTTTATTATTGCTCCATAACCGCCCGATATTTTCTGGGTCTTTTCTTCTGTCTCTCCGTTGCTGCTTCTTTATTTATGCTACTCACACAATAGCCATACACGAAAACACGGTTAATGATCGCACGTACTAATCATTAGAACATGATAATCACACGGTACTTCACACGTGACATTTCCGTCCTTACTCACACGCGATGTGCATTTTACGTTGTGACAGAGGAATAATGTTAAAAAAATATGATTGCATCAAGGTATGATCCCCTTGATATCTCATAAAGTGCAGCAATACAAATCTAGGATGATGAGGAGTTTTAACATATTACTGATGATAAATACCGATTGTATGTTACACGACTGACAGATATTAAAATACAGACTTAATTACGCTAGTACTTGATAATTAAACGCATCGCGATGCTTCCCGACTAGGCATCAATCCGTTCCGCATCCTCGGTGTTCTGTTAATAAGTTAAATTTAAAAATAATATCTCTACTCTGATACTCGCGATACGATGCAAATAAATTCGAGTTAACGGCTAATTAAGATGCAATAAATCATCTGTAAATAAATATCGAAATTCACTACGCGTAACACATTTCAGACTTATAAATACCGCGAAGTACATATACATAATATATATTTGTTAATAAATAATAAAGATAGACGCATCACATTTTTCACTTATTAATTAAATTATTGGATTAAAAGTTATAAATAAAATATAATTAAATTCTATAATTTTTGTATCATTTTTTTTTAAATAGCAAATAAATTGCATTGCATGAAATATTTATTTCGATAAATTAGTCATTTTTTATTTCATGATTGGATTATTAATCATGGGTTTTAATTAATTGCGCAGAATGATAATTGTTGATTGTACAGAGGATGACATTTTCATTAGAGAGAGAAAATTAGCAGAAAAGAAATCCCTTACAAAGAAGGAAGTTTTCATCCTTTGTAAGAGATTTCTTCTCTACTAATGCTCTGTTTCTATTCTTCTATTGAGAGATTTCGCCCTATTAGGACACAATGCATTACGGGATTTGAGATGATATTATTATCTCAATTTTCTTTAAATTATAATTCTCATTTTTTTTAAATATAAATAAATTTCTTCTTTCAATACTTCTATTGCAGCGAGTGCAAAAAGTACTTATACAAGAAAAATATATTGTAAAAAAAAAATATTTTTAAAAAGTAAACAATAATTAGCGATTTATTAACAAAAAATAAAATAGACTGTATATATTTCTCAAAATTAATTTATTTAAAAGAGGATATGTAATAATTAAAATGTGTTATCTTAAAAATCAATGAAAATGAAAGATTATATTACTTATTTATTATTTAGACGCACAAAAGTATTCATATAGTCGAAAAATTTAACTTATTATGAGCACATGAGTTATTTTTGTAAAACTCTTTTGTGTATATTAGGACAAAATATATTTATTATATAAAGTGCTTAATTAATGTTTATTTTTATAAATAAAGCTTTTTTTATAAAAATTTCTTCTTGTTTATTCACTATATATGTATGAGATAACAGGACTGAGGAAGAGGGGAATCAAGCTTGGAATCTCTTTATAGACAATCACTTTATACCTACGCTGTTCAACATCCTCTCTTTTGAAAGGATAATAACACGATGATACAATACGGCGAACGCCGCCATACGTATTGACTTGAACTTCGTGAATGCAGCATGACCTTGTGTATAGAACAGTCCGCTATATACCACGAAGAAGCACCAAGGCCATATGCCAGCTGATTTGCTGTCGCTACAAAATATTTGACGTTCTTTATACAATAAATTTACCGATTTATTTGAAAAATTTTATTTTACTATTTTTTTTTTTAGATTGAGAGAATATTTTGTCTGAAAAATATTATATGTTAACTTTTTTGTTATCAATATTTTTTTATTTATGCCAAATTTTTATATTTTAAGAGAAAGAATATACACAAAGTTCTAATAAATCAAGAATTTTTCTCATAATTTTTGTAATTAAAAAATGTGATGATTAATTTTTTTTTATATTAAATATTTATTTACATTTATTTATATTAAAATCACGCAATTTTGCTTTTCATGGAACATATAAATTTGAAAGAAGATATTAAAATGATAATAAAATAAATATATATTATTAAATATATTTTATTTTTTCATTATAGAACAAAGATAAATTTTATTTTGCAATTGTAATGTGTGACCACAAATTTGTAGAATTTATCATTAAAGCAATACGGACAATTTTGTGTATGGCAGCGTAGCGAATGTAAAACAAAATACAAGATCACGCTATAATTCATTATTACTATAATTCATTGTTTTTATATAAGTCCATCCGACATTTCAATTATGAATGTGAGAATATGACGAATGCAGTCTTCGGTGAAAATTACTCGAAAGTATAAAGCAATTTCTCTAAGATTATATCGATGAGGGAAACACAATCAAGGATGATGATTTTGATAATATAGTATTGGAATATCTCTAAAGCCTAATCTACGAAATGTTCTTTCTTTCCTATGTCTTGCTTATTATCTCTTGTCTTTTCTTTATTCGTGACCATTTTATCGACAATTATGTTTTTTTTTCACGTGTTTTTTGTCTCTTCCGAAATTTGTCAATTTTTATCTCGAGTGATAGAAAACGAAAAAACTAGAAGAGGCAAAAATGTAGAGATATAAAAAAACGGTATTTTTAACTTCGGAGAAAAGTATCAAATAAAAAATTAGTTTCTGTAAAAAACGGTATTTTTGACCAAATTACATAAAATTAATGAAAAAATATAGAATTTATGTTAAATATGTAGAAGAAGAAATAGAATTCATTTTTCTTGTTATTTCGACATTTTAATAATTTTGTCTTTATAATTTTATATTGAAGTGGAAATATGTATTATTTGTATATTTGGCTGTTGCAATTCTTGATGAGTTAATAGGTCTGTTTACGTTGCTTGCACTTTTTACATTCAGCATCTCTATGCTTTCTTTTTTTCAACGTCCAAATTTTTTTCTAATTATATCACTTTAAGTGCAAAAATTTTGAGAGATTTTAAGCAATGACAGACCTAAATGACCTAAAAGAAATATCGATAAAAACTGTCAAAGTCGAAAGAAAAAAAACTATTAATTTCCGAGTTTTTTATCCTAAAATTCTGTAATATTTTTCCGTCGTTTACATCTCTAGGCAAAAAGAAAACAAATCGCACATTGTAGATTAGACTTAAAACATTAAGAGAAAAGAAAGCGAAAAGAATAATCTGCTTCCATTTGTTCTTTAATGGGAACTAGAAAATTATACGGAAATTGCCAATATATCAATGTTCATACATGCATTCAAAGTCTGCTTTCAATTATGATTAATTGTTTATTCTACAATAATGCAATCATTAGTTTAATAAGAGAATATATGGAGTTACGCGAAAAAAAAAAGAAAGAAACCTAAGGGCAATATGTATTCACTTTATTACAAATCTAATTACCATATTATTATCTCACTGTTCTTCACGCCTCGCCAGCCCTCTAACGATCTGTTGCATATCGAAAGATATTATCTCATTTATCAAGCGGCCGAGCGATGAATTAAACTGCTCGCTATTTGCAATTCATATTAGCATACGCTACCGTCGACAGGTCATTCGGCCGTGATTCCCATCCCGAGGAACATTCAGCTAGGTACTGATCTAGGTCCTATAAGCGCGCTTTGCGTAGAAATTAATTGAGAAATGGTTCCTCGGCGATGACGTCGATGCGACTACACTTACTGTCAGCCGGCGAAGGTATCTAAGCCCGCAAGAAGTGCCGCTATGTCCCACATAAGAGCCGAGGCGGCGGAGGATGATTCTGGGACAACCGACCGACGCGTTCGGTTATTACGTACCTTCCGGGTCTGGCTTGTGATTGTTTTTTTTTCGGTTTTTAAACCTGACATGTTCAACGGATTTCAGTATATTTTAGTATTTTTGTTTATTAAGGAAAGAAGAATATGTATACACTTTGTACAAATTGCTTTGATGAGACGAGTAATTTCATGTAAGCATTTCGAGAAATTTCGTGAATGAGTTGTTTTCAAAAATGATCTTATTTGATAAAATTGCGAAATCGATTTCTTATTTTTAATTTTTCTAATTTAATTTCTTATTTTTAATTTATCTAACTTAATTTTTTCGAAGAAAATTAATTTAGATTGATTTAAAATAAAAAATAAATTTAATTTTAATTAAATTAGATAAATTAAATTAGAAAAATTTAAATAAGAAATTAAGTTAGATAAGTTTAAGTTTAGAAGTTAGTTTAGAATAAATATTTTGTGTTACCTCCGCACAAGAGGATGACAAGCAGAATCGCGAAGCATTGAATGAACATTTTCCTATTAAAATTACTTTCGGAATTATAATCATATGAGTATGTTAGAAGTAAGTGAAAAAAATGAGAAGATTTACGAGCGGGTCTTTTGCTACTAAATGCCATGACTTGTCCTTTCTCTACTTATTAT